ATTAATAATTCATCAAACTCATTCATAATTCAAACAAAGGACATCATAACCATGACAATGTTTGGATATCTAAATTAGCTTAGATTTTTACAATTTTATTTCTCCATTATCTCCTTTAGTTAGCTTTACTTTCGATTGAGAAGATATATCAAGCACTCGAGACAGTGTTTGACCACATTGCCAAACACCTTGAAGTTCATCAGAATTACTCTGCTATGCATCATACATGTATTTTCAACTCTCTTCTTGGTGTTTGGAAATGCACTCAAACACAGTCTTTTGTGTTGGATATATTACAAAGAAGCAGTCTAAGGACAGACTTGTGTGAGATCTCAGTTTTGCCGCTACTGGTAATAATAAACTTTCAGCAATGACATTTTGAGTTACAAATTGTACATAGTAACAAGTTTACACCTTTTTTTTACAGTCTTGTCGTTTTGGTAGCAGAGCAGTGGGAAAAGGTTGTTATGTTTTCAATCGTAGAAGTGACCATCTTCGATGTGCGGTCCTTTCCATGGTTGAAAGATGCCTAAATCCATCACTTCCAAGGTACCTTATGACAAGTAACCAAAAACCCTCGCAGAAATACCATGTTGCTAGCTTACTCAACTTATGTTTTAGACGTGTTCATAACAGCAAGTTATACAAGCTTTGTCTGCTGTGGCATGTGCACGTTTCATAGTGAAAATCCTGAAAACATAACCTCTGTGATCATAATGAGACTAGAAAGAGAATTTTTACCATCAATTAGCTTGCTACTTTGTGTACAGTACACATGCAATTCACACTTCATGCTTATTACACTCTTTGATCAATACAAAACTAAGTTGTCAGACACATGATTCTCTTGATTATCATGGTCAACTTTTTTTGATCTAAGTGTAAATTAACCACTATTAGTAGCAAATTTTGAAAGGTGATGTTTGAGCATTAGTGGCTCATAAATATCGCTGCAGCAAAGAGCCACCACTCAAAACATCAGCTGTCCACATTTGCTTTAGCAATTGGCCATTCCCCCCATAAGGTTTGAGTGCAGGGGATCATGGTAGTGTTATGCATCACGCACACAACATCCACAAGACTTGTCTCGCAACATTGCATTTAACACCGGGGGGGGGGGTACTTTGGGAATTTCTGGGTGGGGATGTGCCGCAGGAACCCTGGAACCCTTAGCCTATACCAGAGCTAGTTCAGCTGAATTTTGCTACCCTATACTAGAGTAAACTCCCCAAATCTCCCCACCTATCGACACTGTTGAGGCTGATTTGCGTAAATTTAAACTTGCCNCTATGAACCATAGATAACATTTCTGCCTAGTTCTACTAAGCATTTAGATTATGAGCTCAAGATTTCTATTACATAGAAATCGAGAACGAGTAATCTAATTGTTTTAGTATAATTCTACTAGTCATTCAAAACTATATCTAAATCGTCTTCACAGACACTTTGAAAATGCCAAGAAGAGACCGTCATTTTGTTAACAAGCGCACACTGCTACGCTAATCACTATCTATCACAGAATAGATAGTAAGTAGCATAGCCAATCAGAGAGCAGTATTCGTAATAGAACGCTAGTAGATTTATACTAAATGTCAATAGCATTTATTTAATGGAGACTTCAGACTATAATTTTTGTCAAGTTCCCTGTTTTTCCTGGTACAGGCAAAAGTCTAACAGAGCAAGTGCTGCTATTCTTCAAAGACCAGCTATGAAAACAGTGGGACAGTCATCAAATCAAGGTAACAATGCCCTTACGCATGTAGTCTTTAACCAGTTTGTGATTACCTTACCACTGCCAAAGTCAACATTTGGGACAATGTACAGCACAGCCAATGTTGTGATGTCATAAATCTGAACTTCACAAGATTTTAAATTTGCTTTCATCATCATCATTGTCATCATCATTATTTCATACAGTGCTAGTCTGTCCATAAGAGTGCAATGCTCATCCTCCATTTGGCACTCCCTGTGAGACTAATTTTTGGCAAAATCTCACAATAATTTGGTTCAATGTACATTCAGTATAACAATGCACTTAAGGATTATATGTTCACATTCATTGATCCTCTCACCTCGATATTCCTCTAACCATTATCAGTTTGCATTATGAAAACAAGTATGGAGATTTTTTACTTTGATATACAGTACTGTTAATCCTATGTTTTTCATCTCCTTAGGTTTGTCTTCAGTGCTAGATAGGTACAAGAGTCATTCAAACAAGTCAATGAACAATTTCCTAANGGATGTTCTGCCTACAGGGGTGGTCGCTGATTAGTGGATATTCAAGTGTAATGTGAAACTTAAACATTTCATTTCTATGCAGGGAAAGTGACCTCAAGCTCTGCTGGTCAGAGAGTCAGCCCAGTTTTCTTCAAACAGGTCAGTAGTGAGAACAGCGTGGAAGAGTGTTTTTTTTTGTTTAATAAATATTGCTATTAGATTAATGAGACCATCTTGGATAAAGTTCGGACACACAACATGGCTTTAACAACATGATGTGTCAAAATTCCTATATTGACTGTGATACTTCTTAAATTGGAACATGAAAAGGACGTTCAAAATTCAGATGGAGAACATGTGTTCAAAAAGTACCTCATAACAAGACATGACTTCCACACTTTCTTGGAACATTAACTTGAAAGTGTGTTTAACATTACTTAAATCATAAACTTTGAAATATTGCTGTTGAGTCCTTGAACATCTGCAGGTTTAATGAGAAACTGCCAATGCATTCCAGACCTATTGATGTCCATATAATAATTACATTTTAGTATAAATCTACTAGCATTCTATGACGAATACTGTTCTCTGATTGGTTATGCTAACCACTATGTATTCTGTGATAGAAAGTGAGTAGCACAGCAGTGTGCCCTTGCTAACAAAATAAAAGCCGCTTCTTGGCATTTTCAAAGTGTCTGTGAAGAGGATTTAGATAAAGTTTTGAATGACTAGTAGATTTATACTAAAACAATTAGATTATTCGCTCTTGATTTCTATGTGTGATAGTTGACTCAGGCTGCGCCCTCATCAACTATCACGCGATAGAAATCTCAAGCTCATAATCTTATTGTTTAGTAGATGTTGGCCATACAGTTGTCTCATCTGTGAGTTCTTCTGCTGCACGACAATGAAAACCCACTAAATGTTGATTTTTACAATTATTTCTTTGTTTCTAATGATCAATTCTCTCAGGGTACTGGTACTGTGCAAGTTACATCAATGCCAAATGGAACTGGACCCTCCCCACCCCCACAAGGAGGAACGGTCAAAGGCTACCCCCTAAATTTTGTGATTAAGGGTAACTCTACAACCCAGGGCATCACTGGAGTTACTCCATCACCTGGCAATCTGACCAAAGGACAGAATATTATTTTTAACAACCTGGGGATGCATCAGTCACAGTTTATTGTTCAGCCGTCCTCATCGATGAGTCCAACCATGCATCAGAGAGGTAGTATTTAAGCTTACAGGTAGCATGATCTTAAAAAGCTAGAATTCAGAATGCACCATACAGGCCAAAGCAGAGCAAAGTGATTAAAAATTAATGCAATCTGCCAGCAGCAAGCAAGCTAGAAATTACTTGCCCGTGCGGAAGGTTGAGGGAAATGTTGATTAGCAACGCAAGCCTATTCTTGTCCCCAGAGGTCACAATCTTTTAAGTCAGCACCAAGAACAGTGAATGGTGGCCAAGTCTAAACAGAATTTTTGAGGACAGAGTACTCATAAATTGTTGACCAATCATCTGAGAGAAAGTCAATGAATTGCAGATTTTCAAACAGTTGATTGTTGCTGTTGATCTAATGGATCTTGTCCTTTGGGAACAGGAATAAAGTCTGGCCCTACACACATCTGATTTCTGAAGCACCAGTTGTAATGTAATTTACTCAGTTTTGACTTTACCGTCCGGAACTTTTTTAATTAAACAGAACGTCTTGGAAGGTTGTCCAAAATTTCCAACCAAAATATCATAGTGGAAAATGTGCTTACTATTTGCAATTTTTCACAGGCATTTTGGAATTATTATTATCAGTTTACATTCGTCCTAGTCCATTTTGGTAAACTGGTAGTTTTTGAGTAAATGGTAAATGGTACATCCAAATGGACCTTACCATCAAGCATTGTTGCTTACCATTTGCACAAACCGTCAATGAACCAGTTTCTCTGTATAAACAACCAATGTTAGCAGTTTTCAAATATTATAAAATTGACCCCTTGCAGAGGTTAGTATGTGACTTCCTTCTTGCTCTCTGACAGTTAAATGTAACTTGCATCAGGGCAGCCACCTTCATGTCATATTGAAAGCACTGTGTTTATATATTCTGCCTTTTCTTAGGGAAAGCAGGAAATGTCCGGACTGGAACTGTAAATAAAGGAATGCAAAAAGCACAGTCTCCATCATCTCAGGGTAAAGTTGTACAATCACTGTCGTCTCAACAGCCAATTACAACACAGCAACAAAAAACTGTGGTTGTGACTAGTCCACAGGGGAACCAAACCAAGGTTTTTATTAATCATAACAATATCGCAAGTTCACAACAGCCGATTGTACAACTCAAGCAGCAAGTTGCCCAGCAAAAACAACAATTCCAACAGATTACTCTTCAGAAACAGATTCATCAACAACAACATCAGCAGCAGCAATTACAACAACAACAACAACAACAGCAACAACAACAACAACAGCATCTCCAACAACAGAAACAACATATCAACTCACAATTTATCAAACAACAACATCCAATACAACCCCGTTTAGCACCGGCACCACCTTCACAATCATTCATCTCGCAACAACCTGGTCAGAATATCATTGTTAAAGTTACGGAACCTCTAAAAAGTCCACCCAATGCAGTGTTTGTGACAACGGAACCTCGACAAAACATGCAGCACACAGTCTGCCAGAAACCACAGTCTAACGTTGTGTGATTGGCTATTGCCATGTTTATCAATATTGCTCAAATTTACTGCTGCAGCAGTAATGCCATGTCTCTGGTAAGTGAAGAAATAGTTAAGCTCAAGGGGAAGTTGCAATATGAGGCTCTGTTGCTGCTTTGGAGAAAAATTCTAACCACATGGGGTTTACATCAAACTTGCAATGGTGATTTTCACAAGCCATCAACAGACACGTGCCACTATGTGGCTAAAGGTACCTGTTTTGCTGTTGATATATGGCAGATATGGTAGACAGTCTGGCGACTTGAGCAGTTTCTGACATTAACTAGCCACTGGTGGTTGGTGTTGTGTGAGTAGTACTGGACGTATGTGCTTTGTAGAATTATCCCACAGGTCACAGGTATAACTTCTGCAGATGTTTCTACAAATTATCTACATATGAAACTAGCAGTTAAAGCATGAAAGAGAGAAAAAACCATACAAACAAGAGTAACTGACGAAAAAAGTATTTATAAATTAAAGTGATGTAACATAGTATGTTTTCTTTAGGGAATGTGTTATTTAAAGAGTTTCTTCCATTGCACCGCTGACAGTAACAGTACTCGGCAGTGAAAATACTGGTAAAATTTAATATGAGAATAATGCATGTTAACCGTACAGAATTTCCATCGACAGACTTCCTTGATCAATCGGTTTTGAAAATATATCTTTAAAATACAGATATTTGCACCTTTTTTCCAAAAACAATTTTTAACAAGTGGATCAAATAGTAGTTTCAATGGTATTAGGTAATCTTCAATGCTTGCTGCTAAGTGAACTGAAAGAAGTGTCAATAAATTCTAGTCACAAGTGTCACGATTTATTCGATGAATAGTCAATCTCTTATCAAATGGTATTAGAAAACACAGTTAAGTTTTGATTTTTCTGTTTACTTACTGCAGTAATCACTGGTTTGCCTCCAGTACAGTGTGTAATTTCATGCTCACCATCTCAACATTTCTGATAAACTGCTTGGTACAACATAGCAAAAGTCAAACATGGTAATTATAAATATGGCCTTGGTTAATGGATGTTTTAATGTGTTATCACTGACTGTATATATTTAGGAGTCTTGCAAAGTTTTGGTTAGCCCATAAAGCAAGTCAAAATACAACTGACGAATACAAATATACAGTGATACCACACATTGAAATGATTAATAATAGTTCAAAGATTTTATTCACCAAATCCTTGTTTTGAGTCAGTTTTGACACTTTCACATGGTCTACAGAAGAACTGTTAAACTGGTCTCATAGGGTACAAGTATCATATGATATTAATTTTTTGAATCAAATCTGCATCATTTGTACTGCATGAGAAACCTTTTTGGGATGAGATTAATAATCTATTTAACAAGCAAAGAACACTCAAATTTGGTTATAAAACAATGCCAAGAGGGCAACCAGCAACAATCAGTTTGAATCAAATGAACATTTAAGACTGGAGGCAAACCATGTAGTACTGTACCTGACTCTTAACCTTTCATTCCTAAGATTGAGATACTGATTCTCTTTACATGTTTCAATAGATTTAACTTGATACAAGTTATGAGAAGTTGGCAGTAAATCAAGATGGAATCCCATGTTAACGATTTTGATTTTCTCATTAGCTGTGTGTCTATTGAAATTCTACAAAGAAATTTGTGATCAATCTTGGAAATGGAAAGGTTAAACTGTCTCTTGAAATTTGCACAGTAATGTTATTTTTGTTTGATACAATGCAGTCATCTCCACTACCTCACATGCCCATATTCAGATGCAGTGCATTCTCACTACAATGCTCTTCAGCCAAATTTGCATCAAAGGATGAAATGCCTTTTCCTTTTTTTAAAAATGGGAAAGAGTATTAAAGCATACCAAACATACTATTTTTGCTGTGGGGTTTTGTGTCTCATTGGCATCCTACACTGTGATTCACAAAAATATAAGGGTTTGTACCAGGAAACTCAACTCTACTTGTTATAAAGGATTCTATTTCTGTAATGCAGCGAAGCGGAATTGAAATTTGACTACAATGATCTAGACTAGAGGCTTAGTTCCACCTTCACTTTCTTTAGGGATATTCCTTCAAATCCACATATACACATTTGGTTAGTTTTTGTTGTCCTTTAACTAAAGGTATTCATTTGTAAGTCATTGTTTGCCATTAAAAGAAGTTTCTGTCTTTGAGTTTGCTGAGAGGAATTTCTATTAATCTGAGCACCGACAGGCAACCACATTCTGATGGTACAAACGGGCTGGTGGCCTCAAAAGGTTACTTCAATATGACAAAATGAGCTTTTCTTTGGGCCAAAAAGAAGTGGTTAATATAAAGAGATTTACGGTATTGTTACTGCACCACTAGGGTGGTGCACAGCCAGGTCAGGTGGTTGTGGGGAAGGGGGCATGCAATGCAAAGAAAGAAATTCTTGTATTTTTGTGAATCAGGATGTATGGGAAGCAATGCAAGGTGCAAACCAGTGAATCAGTAAATTCACCTTGCAAGTCGTTTGCATCAACATGCACTAAGAAAAACTTAAAGAAATTAATTTATTTTAGTTGTTTAAATTTTCCAGAGTTGCATTTTATAAATTGTGTATTATTTGTACATGGACAGAACAGAACTTGCTAATACTAAGCTATATTTTGTGGGGAATCAAAACAATGTAAGTTATATAGTAGAAAAATTATCCAAAAAAATAATTCTGTCTTGTGAATGTCTAACAGTGTGAAATGGGTATGTTACGACCAAAACAATCTTCTTTCTTGTGCATTTGTGATGAATCCAGATTTAACAATGGTTATAATGTTGTGTCAATGCAAAGCATATGAGACTTGATTATGTCAGGGTAATTATGCAGAAAACAATGATATTTTTCAAACATTTTTCTGCTGCTGTGAGAATTCTCTATTCCTGGGTTTGAGACCTTTAACCACATCAACAGTACATAGATGCGCATCTTTACTTCGTTTAAATGTCTTGGAGTATGAAAAATTTGATCCAATTTTTGGACCCAAGTCTGCTACAAATGTTATTTCACCAAAACTGTACACTTACATTTCATTGCATATACTGTTCGGTTGATTTTGGTCTGGGTCTTATAATTTGGTGCATACATAATTGTCATTTCCATAGCGGTTTTAATTATTCCACTAAAATGTGAATTTTGTCTGGAACAAGTTTCACTTGGGGGTGGCATTCGGAAGCCATCTTAAAAAAATACTTTTTTGCAACCATATTTTTGGAGAACCGGCAGGAATTTAAATACATAAACTTACAATACATTAGTTGTGCGAGTCTTTCCTAAAGAACTGGGTGAAAGCAAGAAAATCTTAACCCTTATAGTCCCAAGCAAGCTTAAAATCTAAATTCTCTCTAATACATTTGTCATATCTTAGTATTGAGAATTTGAAAGTTCATCATGACAGACTATCAAATCATAGTTGATGAATTTCTGTATTCTCCTCACCTGTCTGTGTTATAATATATAGACATGGTATGGAGAAAATAGACATTGATGTTTCTTGGGACTTGAGGGGTTATCCTCTGTATTTTTTAAAGACAATTCCCATTCAATGGTTCTACTGTGAGGTGAAAGTTGATATTATACAAATATACATTCCAATGATGGCTTGTAAATTTAATTACTGAATAATGAAATAATTATCATATGTGACCTGAATGCACTTTTGTCGGAAGACTTACACTATATCAATTTTGTACCTAACTTTTGTAAATAAAGTATTTATATGTCAGAGATCTACAGAAACTGGTTTAAGTGTAGTTGATGTTTGAATAACCCTTTGACCTGTACCTGAGCGGGGTTGGGGTACTCCCCTGTACGGGCTATATACAGTGGCAGATCCAGACCTTGAGCTAGGTGGGGGGGG